TTTTTTTTTTTACAAACCACTCTCAAAGCACCATGGCAATACCAAAATAAATGCAGGTTTCCAGCAGGTAATGCCAGCATTAAAACAAATGAAGAACCCTTCTATTACAGCTCTTGCTAAATACTGCTTCCTTTCCCGGTTATTTATTCCAGCCATTACCCGGCATGGATTTTCCTTTCAAGAGGGATATTGCAAGTTTTTTTTCTTTGGATACCACTTATAGAGGTCACGCACATTTTACAAGATAAAGATTCAGGCAATGAGCTCTTTAATATATTAGGGTAAGCTGACAAACAGAAAAGGTCCTCCCCCAATTCCTATGAAAGGAGAGGAAATATGTGCCCTTATTCAGAAGTTGCATGCTTTTTTCTTTTTTTTTTTTTTTTTTTTAATAACTGAAATTTATGTGCATCAGCAAACTTTTGGGCATTGTTCTTCCCAAACTAAACTGTTCCTTACAGCCTCATGTTTACTGAAGCCTAAAATTAGAACTGACAGCAATTCACTGCAACAAAGTGGACTTCTTTCCCTGCCTGCCTGTAGCCTGCATCCCATTCACGGCCTCGAAATCTAGGCATCTCTTGACATTCATCTGCCAGGAGAAGAAAAATAGGGCAGGGCTGAGGACCGGCGGCTGCTGCAAAAGTCCTGCCGCCTCTCCTGGGGACCTCACCTTGGCATCGCCGGTATTCTCGCTCATCTTCCTCGCCAGTGTCAGCCTTCGCCGACAGGAGCGCGTCCAGAGCTCGCTTGCACTCCTGCAGCAGCACGGCCACGGCGTTTTGATTATTCATGAAGGCTGATCCCACTCGGCTGTGAATTGGGTGTCCCCGGGTGCACGGTGATCAATTACTTAAGAGAAGACACGGATTCTAAATGAAAAGGATCCCTTCAAGGCTGAGGTACCTGGCAAACAAAGGAGGGGGAAAATGATTAACTAAAGTATCATCAATTATCCGAAAGGCTCAAGCAGGGAGAAATAATAGGGGAAATACATGAAAATACATGACAGCCTCGGAGGACTTTATTAGAGGAGTGTGTGAAATTACTGCAGGGTCTCGGTGACAAACTGTGCGAGGCGAACATCTCCGAGGTGCCAGGGAGAAAAGACGGGCTCTTCAATGGAGCTGTGAAACCCCAAGCGGGAAGTGACTAGCCAGGCTGTGCCGAAGCCCTTTGCACCTGGGAGGCTCAGGCTGTCGCACACTGTTAGCCGGGATTGAATGGCAGAGCCGTGCACGCTCTGAACTCGCAGAGGATGCTGCACGCGTTTACCAGACCACGGGGGCCGTCTCTTTTACCCTGGGGCACAGGAGCACATCGCTCTCTCACCTCCTCTCACGCTAGCCCTGCGCCTGCCACGCAACGCGGCGTCCCACCGCGGTTTGGTTGAGGTAGTGGGGCAAAAATGGACTTTGAAGGAGCCCGCCGGAACGAAAAGTCTTTTTGCTGATGCTGCAGCACGCCGCAGGAGCTCACCTAGCACAAAGGCACAGGCCCGCAGGACGAGCGCTGAAGCTGATCACAGCTTCACCAGCCCTGGGACAGACAGAAAGGACGGGGGCTTTCGACCGTCTTATCAAACACGCACACGGCTTGTTTTTGTCACAGCCGGGTCTCCCGCAATCAGACCAGCTCTCAGGAGCCTTTCCGAACCTGACAACCCCTCCTTCCCACCTCCCGGAAGAAATACTTTGGGGTTTTTTCCCACCAATTTGCTGATGGTCTCACTTAGAAAACTACTCCTACAGTTTGAAGCAATGTAGTTAGAAACAGCCTTTGTGAAAACATTTCTAAAACTGGGGAAACAGTAAGGCTATGAAGGAGGAAAGGGAGTGCAAAGGAACACACGGCAGTTTGCTCTGCTGACTAGAAACTATTTACATTTTAGCAGCTAAATTTCCAGACAGTTTTTTTTCCTTTCTGTTGCAGCTCTGGGATCCCTGGATCCCGGAGCTGGTGGCAGAGATAGCCTGTGTTCTCAACGGCACCAAGTAAGAGCAAGCTGCCAGATTGAAAAGGAGAGGGCAAAAGAGATGCACTCATGCGAAAGCAGAGAGGATCAGAGAGCCTGCCGTGGAAGGGCAGGTGGAGCAGGGCAAAAGATGGGATTCATCAGCAAAGAGCCTGGAGGCAGGAGCTAGTCAGTGGGGCTGTGACTGACTTTGCAGACAAATGTCAGAGAAAGAAGAAATTTAAAAAGTAGCCATAGAAGGGAGATTGAGGACAGGAACACAGGCACCTAAGAGCAACTGGAGAGCAGGCTGGACAAGAAAAAGATCAGCTACATGCAGAGCCATGGATAAAAAACTTAGGCAAGACTAAACTAACACTGTTAAACCTTCAACATTTCCTAGCATCTGAGGCTTGGCTTTGTGATCGCAGTGATGTTTTGCTGGTGTCAGTTCTTTCTGTGGAACCCACACCGTGGAGCACCTCGACAAAGCTTCCTTCTACTCCAGCTGCACTCCGGAGCACGGCACGATAAGGTCCTGGCACAGTATTCAACCAGCTGCAAAAGCAGACTGTAGTCTTCACATTCTGGAGAGTACAAAACACCCTCTAGCAAAAATTAGAATCACAGAATAGAATCACAGAATATCTCAAGTTGGAAGGGAGTCCAACGGATCATCGAGTCCAACTCCCTACATAGGGATTCTCAAGAGTACGGTGTCAGACTGAGATACAAAGGAGCTAGCTTCACTTCTTAGGTCTGATGATGATGTCCTGGTGATGTCAAGTCATATACGCTGTGCCTCATTTCTCCTTCCACTGTCACATCCATGAGAGAGGAACAGAGATGCCAGCTGAGATCGGGCTTGTTTGCTGGGCCCCTCAATGGGCAGCTAGAAATCTCGGGTGCTGTGAAGTCAGGTTTGTCAGTGCCTGCGAGATGTCTACCGTATGAATAAATAAAAAGCCCATATAGTGAAAAAGTGCTCTGAGGAACAGCACAGGTTTCATTGCTGTGTTTGTGGCTCTCAGGCAATCGACTCTGTGCTCAGAAAGCTGTTAAAAAAGAGCCTGTCCTTTCTCCCTGGCCCCTCGGAGATGTTTGCCTCCACCAGAAAAAACAATCAAATAAACCACACAATACAGGGCAGAGGTTCTTATAACGAGAGCAGGTTAAACTCTGCACTCAGGTTCAGCTCCCATCCCTCCAACAAAACACGGAGGTGGGATTTCTGCCGTTTTCCCTTGCCTTCACAGCTCTGCCCAAGTTGGTATTTCTACCTTCCTTTTCTCCAATTGCTTTTGTATTATAAATGCTTTCCTAGGAGAGGATTTAGAGGTGTTTTCAGAAAACAGGTGCACATGCAGGTATCAACACAGTCCAAGAATACAACTCCTATGCATGGCAAAGTTAAAAGGAAGCCACAAATGCAGAATTTATAGCTGAAGGCCTCTCCTAGTGCTCCTCTCCCCGTCCTGGTACAGGACGTTAAGAAACAAAGCAGAAGGAAAACCCAGAAAGGGTTCTCCATCTTTTTAAGGTCCGAGTAAGCAGGGCCACCCCATGCAGGACATGGTCCAGCAGGGTTTGAGCCAGGTCATCATAGCTGGATAACGGTAATGGGGTGCTGGGATCTCCTCCCACATGGCAAAGGGATGGACGGGGCACAGGGCCCATTAGGGGCTCCTGTCAGGAGCAAAAGACGACGGAAAGGGTTCTCCATCTTTTTAAGCTCGGAGTAAGCAGGGCCATGCAGGACATGGTCCGGCAGGGCTTGAGCCAGGTCATCATAAGTGGATAATGGTAATGGGGTGCTGGGATCTCCTCCCACATGGCAAAGGGATGGACGGGGCACAAGGCCCATTAGGGGCTCCTGTCAGGAGCAAAAGACGACGGGGCCAGAGACAGGGCTGGAGACACAGTTACGGCGTGCTCCAAAGTCAACCCAGGAGACAGGGCTGAACTATCTGTCACCAACAAAGATCATTCCAAAAAAAGACCACGACGCTGATGGGACTTGCTCGCAGCACAAGGTCCTAGATCACATCCTAATTCACAAAGGTCCCCTCTCCCTAAGCATCTCCAGGTCGGCAAGGACAGACATCTGAACCTGGTGACAACACCCAGAAAGCAGACTCTTGGGAAAAGCAGAGTCCTCTCCTCCGACTCTGCCAGGTCTAGAAAAGCTGATCCAGTTGCTGGGTATCCATCGGGGAAACGAAAAGCAGCCCACTCTGCTGTAATCACAGTAACACACCTATGCTAGTGTTGCTTGCTCTGTTAACTACACTGACATCTGCTAATTGATTTATCTGATTATCCAGCCCTGTGGGAATGAGTGTGCGGCCGTCCCATGAGTACCTCCCAGGTTGGGATGAAGCATCCCTGCCATCTGGCCCTGACTCCATTCCTTTGTGTAATTGATTTCTCAAAAAATCTCGTTTTCTAGGGCGTCCTCTCTAGTAACCACCCGAGCACATATACACGTATCTCAGATCATCGTATCTGCGAACATCAGCCCGCGCGAGCAGAGGAGACTGCTTCAAGAGCATGCAGAAGCGTGTTGGAGAAAGCCTGCGTTCGACTGCCACCTCGCAGCCCTGGTAAATACATGTTCATAAACACAATTTTCTACGAAGATGCACTAAAGCAAACAAGTGCCGGGATACTTGCCTTTACAAAAAATAACGGAGCATTAAAAGCATCCGAGGAAGCTTACAGACGTGCTCCAACTTATCTAATGTTGCAGTCCAGAGCCCAAAATGAGTCTTTTAAACCCAGCTTGTGGAAAAGCTGGAGGGCTGCAGTGCTGCAGCCTGGCAGATCACATTGGGTCTTTACTGTAAGCGGGAGGGCCCCGTGGCTTTGTGAGCCACACAGGCTGCGAGTCTCACAAAGAACCGATGGGGCTTAGCGGGGAAGCTTAAATAAGTGTAGAAGTACAGCACTTGGCTTCCTAGGATTGTAAAGATTTAGCTCACCGGGAAACTGCCAGATCTATAACAGTGATATATGAATGTCAGCGTGTGAGAAATTTTTCTTCAAGTACATTTTTCCAAAGAACTGAATAAACAGCAAGGACACTTAGAGTAATAAATAATGATTTACAACAGCAGTGACAACAAAGTGCTGGAACCATACAGAAAAGTGCAATAAACTGTACATCAGTACTCAGAAGGAAGACAGCCTTTTGAGACCCATCACGAGGGGCAATGACTCGCATCATAAAATCAGCTTAAAATGCACCAAAGAGCTTTAAACTATAGCAGCACCCTTTACACAGATGCCACTTCGTAAGTTGTGTTTTGTGACAGCTGTAGCACTGAATGACAGCTGGGACGTGAAAATAACCAAGCACACAGCTTATGGACCTGGGGCAAATGCAGGACCTCAGACTAAAGCCAAACAGCAGAACCAGCAAAACTTCTAGAGGCCTTTAGAACCCTCTCAATGCTTACTAATCAGCTTTCTTAAAGTACCGTTAAATCCTAACAAACAGTACTTTAAGAAGACTACAGTTTTGAAGTGATAAAAATTGCAGCTTGATATGCTGCAAAACCGTCTAGACAAAAATGCCTTCTAAGGACGCACTAACAAATGCTGTAGCTACCACTTTCAAAACACATAATAAAAACAATTTTGCATCCGATTGAGGACTTCAGCATTTTTTGGTGACAGGAAAGCTCCTTTACTCCAGCTTTGGGCACGGAGTGTTTTTAAACGGTTGATGTAATTGTTAGACACTTTAAAACAGAAATGATGAAAAAAAATCTGTGCCATTTCTGGTTGGAGCCTGGATTAAAATAACTTCTTGCATCAAATATGATGAAAAAAGAATTT